ATATGTAAAATATTACTTAAATTACAGAAACAAGAATATTTTTGAATGAAATTAAATCACTGTGTATTAATTGTTATTGTATTTCACTCAAGTCAGCTTCTGTTCTGTTAAGCCAATGTTTTCTGTTTGTGATCTAAATAACCTTCACCTAAACTATTACTCCCATTGACATAAGAAGCCTGAAGACACAAGCTCCGAAATGAGCTTTCCATTTCTGGTCTTGGTGGAAAGCGGAGCAGATGCAAGACATTCTCCTCTCTTTCTAATCCCTTTCATTTTAAAAGCTAAAGATCCGGTGACCTGTGATGCCTCGGACTTCAAAATGTTCTCTGTTGGTGGGAAAATCAATGATTTCAAAATTCATACATATCTTAGTTTAAGAGGAAATGATAAATTGCCATTGCCTACATTTGAAAGAGACACTCAACAAAACTGCCATTATCTGAAAACTTGTACAAACAAACCATATGAGAACAACCATAGTGTTAAGATGTATTTTACGCCCAGTACCATCATAACTACATTTTAATTTATTGAAAGAAAGCCTCAGCTAAATTATTGCAAAATGTTTACACGTAGAACCGTTTTTTTTCTCTCTGTTTTATTAGCTTCTGTGCTGCCGTTATGCAAATAAAGCATAATTTTCCTTTAAATTGGGCCAAACGTATACATTTCTAGTTTAATGGGGTGTTTCAGGTTATAAGTATGCTAAAATAAGCTTGTCACATTTCAATAAACGCATGTACGTGTGAGTGCAGATATTGATTAACAATTTCTCCAAGGATAATTCCTCATCAGACAGGTGCCTATTGCACAATAGAATGAGGGGGTCTAGTTTAAGAGTAATAATAATCCTGTTTCTTCTATCTTTGAGTGAATGAGCCCAGGATTAGATCAGATAAAACACACTTGAGATAAAGTGCACAAGGTGGATTATAGAAGAAAAGAGGATTTAGTGAAGAACATATCCACAACTTTTTGTTAACATTGAGAATGGTGGCTTTTGTAAGCAACATTTATGGAAACTCGGCTCGAGGTTTAAAAGCGATGTCTTTTGTTGTGCATTTCTCTGCATACATTTCCTTTGTAGTTAGAAGCGTTAACTTCGGAAGCCATGCTGGGCCCTGACTCATGCCCATTTTGTCTAATGAAAAGCTAAGGATGTACTTTTAAACATAGATTCTTGTTTTGTTTTCTTTGAAGATTTTTTTTTTTTTTTTTACTTTTTTATTCTCACAATCTACCAAGACGATGAAGTTCATTAGGTTTTTATTATCACAGATACAAATTAAGTATCTGTTCCCTGGTGAGCAATAAGCATAACGTAATATTTCCTACTTACAGCAATATTTACTTATTACCTTTTTTTACTGCAGGATGGATGGATCTTTAGTGTTCTGCCATGAACTGCTCATTGCTGCAAACCTCAATTGGAAAGTTACCGTCTACATGAAAATCACAGCCTGTAAGTAATTTGATTTGCAAACTCTAACTCTAACAAGTATATTGAAGCACACAGGACTCAAGTATAGGAGCACACTAATTTGCATGGAACCCAGATGCAATTACCTGCTTACAGTGTTTGTGTCTTAAAACAGTATTTTGTTACCATAGTTGTAATTGCGAGTGTCTACAAAAGTATTTTTTTATTTGTTACCTAAATCTTCTCATTTGCTTTCCTGTCATTGGAATAAAGGATTAAATAGACTTGTAGCACATCAGAAGCCCATTTTAATTTAACATATGAACTCATCTGCATTTTGTGCTATCCAAATGGGCTGCAAACCCAGTTTTTGGAGATAATTGAAGTATAAAATTGGCATGTGGTTCAAAACAAGAGCAAGAAGTAGGTCCTAGAAAGTCCAACAAACTCCTTGGCTTTATTCAGTATCTTCTTTGATCTGTCACTAAATTCTTATCTTTCACAACAGAACAGAAAGTATATCAGGTAAGATACTTTAAGTACATCTACAGGCCTTATCACTGCTGTTACTGGAGATATGTTAATCATAAAGTTTCTTAATATGATTATTCTATACATTTGTTAGCAATCAATAGGTGCACAAAATAAAAAATTATTGCTTATCCATTCCATTAATAAGTGCCAAATGTCTTAAATTATATCATGCAAATAAATTTGCAAAACCAATCAAAGTGCAAAAGTGAAAATCACCTTCTTAAAAGAACTATTAGCATTTTATAAAGTGTCAAATATTAATGCATGTGGAAAAAAATTAAAAGAAATCAATGTCACTTTAAGGTGTGCACAATATACTTGCACTATATCACTCTTATAGTCCAGGGGATCTAGAAATAGAAACATACACAATCCTATTGCAACACTTTTAAAAGCAGATGACAATCCTATTTTAAGATAATACATTTGCACTTAATGATTATTCTTGCACCACATTTTTAAACTTTTTTACTATGCATTTGTTAGACAAGTGAGTAGAACAGAATATAGATTCATTTGTTTACAGATGACTGTAATCTTTAGGAATGAGTTTGTAGGAGTCTCAAGAGAATTATTTAAAATTGGTAGATTCTTTTGGTGTAATTTTCAGCTACCAAAGATACATGAGGCCAAATGGACATCAGTGACATTTAATGCTAGCTTCATCTAGTTAGAGCTGGACCTTGTGGGGCTTCTTGGAATACATCACCACAATGTGTTGAATGTAAACGAAGCATCCTAATGGATAAGAACCAACACTGTAAAGCACAGTAATGGTGAGGAGGCAGAATTATATGATGTTCATAGAAACATATGAACTTTGTAGGCATATTTTAAGTTTAATTGTGTCTAGATTTTAATAATTATATGGTTGGTTCTCAAAATTATTTGTTTAGTGTATAGTTTTCATGAACAGCCGTACTGGCCAGTCACAGTACAGTGCTCTCTTTCCTGACAGTCACTTACTTGAGAAGACCTACAGACTGACAGGAAGTACTCACTGAGAGAGCACCTTCTGTCAGACCATGTACTGTGGTCAGCTCAGATATGAGCAAGCACAGGAGGGGGGCGGGGTAGCATTCATATTTCTGCTCTGCTTGTGATTTATTGTGTTTAAATCTGAATATAGTGAGTGTATGCAGCTGTCTAATTAGATTAGCGTTAGATTACAGAGGGTGTTAAGAAGATTAACACCTTGAGAGG